AAATTATAACTGAGTGAAAAGTGAAAATTCTAGAGAGAGAGAGGGAGGGAGAGAGAGAGAGAGGGAAAGAAAGAGGGAATCTAGAGGAGGAGGTTCTGCTCAAGTTTTAGTTCCTGCTTATTCAGGTAAGGGGGAGGAGAACCTTATCTCTTTAAAATTTTATATATTATTATGTTTATTTATTTATTTATTTATTTTATGTGTATTTATCTAGTGAGGTGTCCCTAACCTCATTTATTTGCTTAACCTATGATTATTTTTATCCATATTAATTATTAAGGTGTTCACATTTTATATTGTTTAATTATTTTATAATGATTGTCATTTTTATTTATATCATTGGTATTCTTAATATATTCTTTTTACGTAAATATATTTATTGTAAATATATTTATAATCAACTATGATATAGTTGTAATATCTTTGACTCGTTGTTGTTATTTCTTCACGTATTTATGAAGATAAATATTACTCTATGGCCATAGAAGATAAAGTTTGAATTATTTGTAGCTGGAGGTTTGACCTTGGGGATTTAAATGAGTAAGAAATGAAGGTGAAATATCCTATTGTTGATTAAGGTGAAATATCCTTTTATTGGTTGATGTTATGATGATGCTCATTTATCCTGACTAGTCACTACAAGTATAATTCAAATTTTATTGTATCATGAAAATCTAATATATGATCTGTATATATATTTATATATATATATATATATGTTTAATATTGATTATAAATAATTCTTTATATTCTTTTGAATTATTGTATTTATTGGATATTGTTCTTACTCCTCTCTTTTCTTTGTTTTTTTTAAATTAAATATATTATAAAATAGATGGATCTACTTGGGATTCCAGAGCATTTTACAGTGATTATAGCTGTTGTCTTTCTTGGAAGAAATTGGAATGTGGAGGCTATTTGATGAATCTATTATAATTGTTATTGTAAATTTATTTCTATTATCAATGTAAAGTTTGTAATAGAAATGAAAGAAAGAAATATTGTGTATAATAATACATTATTATAAATACTTATGTTATGTATTAAATTCACAAAATATTCTGTTTCTTTATCTTTATCCATAAAAAAAATATTGTTAATGATATATTTGCGAAAATATTATATAAGAAATATATAATTATTATTATATAAATTGGGCGTTAGAATCGGGCGTTACAATTTCTCTTCTTAGTAATTTCTATGAATTTTCTTAGTATATGTTATGTTATGAATTTTTGTTTTCAGTCTCTGAAACATATTTCTATCTTTAAATTTATGTTATGTTATGAATTTTTATTTTCAATTTTTGAACCACATTGTGGCATTTTGTTGAATGTACGTATGTGGTTGGCGTTCTGGAACGACCCGTTCTAAATCCAGAATGGCTCGTTCTGGTTTTAGAATGACCCATTCTATTGCACTCGTGATGTATTAATTTTGCACCAGGAACGACCCGTTTCAGATGCAAAATTAACATACAACATGTACAACCAGAATGAGCCGTTTTGGTTTCAGGTGCATTTAAGAAATTTGGCATCCACCTATGCATCTACGTGACATCCACGTGGCCAACAGTTAACTCCGTTTAAATAATTTGGACGGAAGCCCGACATTGCACTAATTTAAATTATTAGGGACCAAATTGAAACAAAAAATTAAAGTAGGACTAAATTGAAACAAAAAATATTATAAGGGACCAAATTAGGGTTTTAACCTTTTATATTCAAAAATCATGATTCTCGAGAATTACAAATTCAGGAAATCATGATTCTTGGAAATAACTAAAGTATGTTTGGTTACTTATAAAAGTTCTTTGGAATATTCATATATGATTTCTGGAAATTAAATATTTTCATGTTTAGTTACAATAGTATATTTTTGAGTTTATAAATATTTTTTTACAAAAATATCCTTTGTTAAAATAAAGTCACTAGATATATTTATTTACTCAAACTTTATTACAAATATGATATTAAATTATTTTAAAAAGTTAAAACTTATTAAAATTATCTAAATGCAAAATTCAACAAAAAAATAAAAAAAATAAGAATGCTACATTATAATTAAGAAGAATAAAAATATATTATTTTATTTCATTCAAATAAGAAAAAAAAAGTATTAACAAATACTATTAAAATGCATAAATAAAATAGACTTTAATAATATCATTAAAATTGATAAGGTCAATAAATAATGAGATATAAGAAAAAGATAATATATATATATATATATATATATATATATATATATTTATCTCCACCACAAACTTATTAGATCTTCCTATTACTAATTTAGGTGCATTGTTATAATGTGTCCTAGAAATTAAATATGCAAATGTATTCAATAATTTCTTACTTTTAAACAAGAAGTACTGTACTTATTGTTTGTGTAACACTGTAAGTTATAATAGTGTTATATTATTCTTAATTGTTTAATACTGTTGAGTGAGTTGTTAATCAGTGTTGAGAGACTTGGGGTTTGAGGATCCCATAAGGGCTTCAATGGTGTTGAGAGGGAGTTTTTCTAGGCAAAGATCCATTTTAACCTTGGAGGAGAGAGTATATAAAGTTTTTGTTTGAACAAAGTCTCGTAAACTCATTTCCCTCAAAATTTTAGAGAGAAGGTCTTTGGTCTGTGAGTTTTTTTCTCTAAATTTTTCACTCTTCTTCTTCCAATCCTTTCTACGCTATGTTGTTTGTGATTCATGTAGTAGAAACCTTGAATCAAGTCATTGTTTTTGTTGCAGAGCCTTGATCTTTATTCTTTTCTACCTTGGACCCGAGCTACCTCGAGGTAAGGGAAGTTGGAAAATTTTGTGTTGGATGAACTGAGGATTGATAAACTAATTTTGAGTTGTGTAGTGTGGAATCTAATTTGTGTGTGGTTGTGTTGATAAATTCTAAGTGAGAAGAAGGTTAGAAATAAGGTTTTTGAGTTGTTAGCCAAAATCGATGATTTTTTAAAAATTTTGTTTGCATGTTGAATTTGAGTACATTTTTAAGTTGATTGTGATGTATATGCTTGCTATTTTGTGTTGCATGTGTTGAAAACTTGTTGGATTTCAAGTTGTGGCTCAAAATCAAGTTTTACATATGCAAAATTTTGATACCACGCTGGGCATGCCTTCAAGGCGTCGGGAGTTGGTCTAGCTTGAGGTTCTCTATCTCAATCATGTTAGGTGCAGGATTGGAGGCACCTTGTGTGAGGAGAGAGACTCGTCTTGGGTTGGAATGAAGTCGGGCATGGGAACCTTGAGAGCTCTCTGGATTAGTGACGCTAGGCTCAAAGTTGAGTGACACCCAGTGTGGCCAAGCCAAAACTCTTTGTTTGGATTTCACCGGGTGTCAAGGTGGTGACGTCGGGCAATACTTACGTAGAGACTCTCTACCTAAGGTGGGGTTGGGCGTGGTAGTTTACCACGCTAGGCTCAAGGTCTTAGGGGCATTTGCCTTAGCCATGTCGGGCACAGATTTTGTAGCATTAGGGGTGGGCAAGACAGAGAGTTCCCTGCCTAAATGACGCCAAACGTAGGTTGTGTTACACCGGGCATTAGTTGTAGAAGAAGATATGTTGTTATAATTGATGAAGTGTTGAATACTTATTGACTTTAGTTTTTACATGAAAATATGATAAAGTAGTATGTGATGATTTGTTATGAGTTGTTAGTTGAGAAGTAGATATGAGTTGTAAGATGTGTGTTGATAGAGTTGTATGTTGACTGTGCAGATGTGTGTTGATATAGTTGTATGTAGACTGTGTAGTTGTGTTGAATATACGATGAGTTGTTGAGATGTATGTTAATTAAAGAGTTGAATGAGTTGTGATGATTGAGTGGTAACATGTAAAGTTATGTGTTGATTTTGTTAGTTGTGTTGAATCTATAAAGAGTTGTCGTGTTGTTGAGCTTTGTTGATCACTTCGAACTAAAGGAGACATTTTTGAAAGATACATATCTCATTGTGTGGATATTGTGTTGAGGTTCTCTGAGAGTCCAATTTGTTGAAAACTATTCTTGGGGAGCTGACCCTTGAAGTGGATATTGTGTTGTTTCTGCTCTGGGACTTTATTGGTACCGTGTGTGGGCATGATCGAGTCGGAAGGGCATAGTATTTTGAGGGTAGTCGGTGGACTAATCCCATAGGAGGCTTACGTGATAGACCCATATCTAGCTATTCTACCTTGACAATAGTATCTGACTTCCTTATTTAAGTAGTGACATATGAGAAATCGAGTTGCTATGTTGTGGATTTATATCCAATTTATTTTTGATCTAGCAAATCTGAAAAGACCACGTTATGTTGTGGGTTCGGTAGGATCAAGTTACTTAAACTACTTAACCTGTGTTGTAGGAGATTTTCTAGTTGAAATACGTGATGATGCATATAATTGTTGTATTGAGCATATGATTTGTTGAGTTGGTTGTGTTGTTCATATGTTGTATTGATTTGTCATGAAATGTGTTGCTATGTTGAAACTAAGTTATGGTGTTGATCTGTGTGGTATAACGTGATGTCTTGTGTTGTATTGTTAGAGATGAGATGATGATGTGACGTTCTTATATTGTATATATGTTGTTTCTTTTTTGCTCTAGTTTACCCTTGTGTATTTTCACGTGACTTGAATTACGATGATCATATGTGGTATGAGAGCAAGATAGGTATAAAATTGGAGTGTTGCTATGAAGGCTACCCAGTGATACAAAAGCTGGAGGATATTTTGTTGACTATAAGTTAATAATAGACTTGTAAATAATAATAATTGTTTGACCAATAACTTAAAATATATAGTTCACATTTATCGGATTACTATATTTATATTGCATATATTTATGTATTTGTTCACTTTTATATGCATGCAATATAATACATATTTTTGTAATTTTATAATCTTAAATTAGATATTTTCTGGTGCTAGTAACATGCGGTATAGGGACCAAGGCCTCGTTTCAGATAGTCATGAGTTCATCCATTTTTATTTTCCAACCTAACATGTTAATGCAATAATGCTAGGCCCAAACTGTTAGAGCGCAAATAGCAGTTCAACTGAGTCTCTGCAACCCGCAAGCAACTAGTGTGCTATCTGAAAATTTCCATTCCAATTAATTTATCAAATTGAACAAGAACAATCACCACTAGACAGAAAAACCTATTATCAGAAAATTTGAAATAGCGAAGTTCAAGGACGAAATCAAAACAATTAAACATTATCAAAGTTTCAAAGTTACCACATGAACTCACAGATGTCGGGTAACCGAGCTTCCAGCCCAATTATGAAAAATCTGACTACGCGTTGGGCTTCGGATAATTTGCTTGGGCCAGTTAGAGAGGGAAAAGAGGAAATTTAGCATCCCATGATTTGATAGGTCACGGCGAAGGAAGCCGCGAACACAATCGAAAGCCCTAAATGAGTAAATCCCAATCACAGTCCACACCAGAGATATCAATATCATCAATAAACCCTTCTAAACAGTGATGGCGAGACTCGCTTGCCCTCTCAGTCGCAGCATCTTCAAGCAATCCCAGCACTGGCGGCCACTCCGGTGTTGCCACGCCCTTACCTTGGCCACGTTGGGTGGCGACGAAGCAAGAAGCACCACCATCAAGCTCTGGAGCAAAGCCAAAAGAAAAGCCTTCTTCGACTCTCCCGAAGGAGTCCTGCTGCGCAACCTCAACGACTGCTCCAAGGACGGCGACGTCGTGCAAGCGCTTCGCCACTACGACCACGCTCGCCAATCGGGGACTCTCCTCACCCTCGACCACTACAACAAGCTTCTCTACCTATGCTCCCTCCAAAACGGCGACGTTCCCCATTTGGGCCTCAAGCGAGGCTTTGAGATTTTCCAGCAGATGCTAAACGACCGCGTTCAGCCCAACGAGGCCACCTTCACCATCGCCGCCAGGGTTGCCGCTGCCAAGGAGGATCCCGACATGGCTTTCGAGTTGCTCAAGCAGATGAAGAATGTCGCTGTTGCTCCCAAGCTCAGATCTTACGAGCCTGCTTTGTTTGGGTTCTGCAAGAGGGGTGATGCTGAGAAGGCTTACTTGGTCGATGCTCACATGGTGGAGTCTGGCATTGTGGCTGAGGAGCCTGAGCTTTCTGCTCTCTTGGAAGTCAGCGTTGCTGCCAAGAAGGAGGACAAGGTGTATGAGATTTTGCACCGGTTGCGCGCCACCGTGAGGCAGGTTTCGGAACCCACTTCGCGGTTGCTTGAGGAGTGGTTTGATTCGGAGTATGCTGGGAAAATTGGGAGGGAGGAGTGGGATGTGAGGAAGGTGAGGGAAGGGATTGTGAGGGGAGGTGGAGGCTGGCATGGACAAGGGTGGCTCGGGAGCGGCCGCTGGACGGTGGCCAAGACTCCGGTCAGCGAGGATGGCGTGTGTTCGTCGTGCGGGGAGAAGCTTGTCAGCATTGATATTGATCCCAAAGAGACTGAAAATTTTTCTGCCTCCTTGTGTAAATTAGCTTGCCAGAAAGAAGCCAAATCAAACTTTGTTCATTTTCAGGTACAACACAACAAGATTCATTGTTCTGTTTGGTTACATTGGGTGAAGGATAGGATAGGTTATGTATAAAAGAATTTAGCAATGAAATAGTGACTGGTATACAAGTTTAACTTGTGCAGAAGTGGCTTCAGCGGCATGGCCCGTTTGATGCTGTTGTGGATGGTGCCAATGTAGGCCTTGCCAACGGGCATAAGTTCAGCTTTTCGCAGGTGAGTGTGAAACTGTTGAGTTTATTAGAACATTAAGAAAGTAACTACTTAATGGTTCTGTGCCCTTGGTTGTAGCTTAATACTGTTGTTGAACAATTACGTCAAATGAGCCCTTCGAAGAGATTGCCACTTGTAATTTTGCATATAAGTCGGGTAAATGGTGGTCCTGCTCAGAATCCAAAAAACAGGAGATTTATAGAAAATTGGAAAAAAAATGGTGCTCTTTATGTCACTCCTCAAGGTTCAAATGATGACTGGTAATGTAGTACTTCCATATTATTTTAGTTAGACTGAGTTGCCTACTGCCCCCCCTCTTTTTTTCCTCTTATTTTACATTTGCAAAGAACCTAATGGTGTTGATTGATCCATGTAGCTGACTCAATCTGGTGGTATAGGGGTTTCGGCTGTTGTTAATTTGTTTTATCACACATTTACAACATTGATATGAATATAAATTCTTCACTGTATATATGTCTCTGTAGTTCTTCTACAATTCAGTTGCACTAAAATGGTGTTTGTTTTGTTTATCACAGGTACTGGTTATATGCTGCGGTCAGTTGTAAATGCTTACTGTTAACAAATGACGAGATGAGGGACCACTTGTTCCAACTACTAGGTTCTAGTTTTTTCCCAAGATGGAAGGAAAAGCATCAGGTATTCTAAACTATATGAGATTTTCCTATACGCTATATATACTATAACTCTGACCATATTCAAGATGCATTCATTATAAATCTATTCTGAATTCTGCCTGTCTTTTGTAACCATGACTATTGAGTATTGATTACCCAAGGCCAGAAATTAAGATCTTGCATATATAGCATAATTTATCACGCTTCTGTTAAAAAAAAAGACTACATGTTTGTTTATGGATGATATTTTGATTGAGAAATCAAGGGAAGAAGTTAACTTTAAACTTGAGTTTTCAAATTTTGGAATCAAAGGATTTTCACTCAATTAGGGGTAAAACAAATTATTTACATTGTAATTTGAGCAAGAAACAAGAATAAAATGAATTGGAACTTGTAAGTAAAATGGAAAAAGATACCATATCGTAGGTTTTAAAGTTTAAATATTTGGGACCAATATTACAAAACGATGGCGAAATCAATAAAAATGTCACACAAGAAATGATAACATACAAAATGATTAACTATAAGAAGATATTGGTGTAGCATCAGATGACGAATCCAAAAATTTTAAATTGTGGGAACAATATTCTAATGTATGAACTTGTGGAGGCAATAGCCATATTATAAATTTGACTTGTTATACTTCATTTTAAATTATTGGGACAATTTCTAATTATACAAGTATATTATATTAAAAAAAATATAAAATCTTGTGAGGGAAACTGCTCCCAAAGTTCACTAGAGTTTGTTATGTATTTGTTAGAACCAGTTCTCAAGAATTTTAGCCTTTCTCGATGCTGGATTACTAATGTGCTGTTTGTCTTTTGCTAATGAATTTTGTATTGGGTTTTTGAATCCAATAACTAAAGGATTGATGAAGCATTTTTTGGTTTACAGGTTCGAACATTAGGCTCAACTTGTGGACGCCCCCTAAACATGCCTCCCCGTTATTCAATAGTTATTCAGGTGAGATGATAACACAACTGCGTTTCTTGTTCACTTGAATATAAACAAAATGAATTCACCGAGCAAATGGTATGGTGGCTATATAGTGATTCTTGCTTAGCATCGAAGTGTAATTCATACCCTGTACTTGGTATTTTGGGATGATTTTGTCCAATTCTAAGGGGTCAAAGGGAAAAAAATTATTGACCGATAAAACTGAGCTTTCCAACTCATATATGCTAAATATAATATAACTGCAGGAATCAGCTAATGGTAGTTGGCATGTGCCAACTGTAACTAGTGATGATCAAGAGATCCCAAGGAAATGGTTGTGTGCTACAAGATCCAGAAAAAAAATCATTACATAATCTATGGACAACGTCTGAGTGAACATGAGGGAGGCGTATTTTCATCTTGGTTTGTTTTCGGTAGTCATACCAATTTTTTCTCATCTTGAGTTGCAGTTCCTAGCAGCTGTGATGAATGCAAGGCATAAGATGCGGCGCTGCTACCATTTCCCTCTCTTTTTTGAGTAGCTTACATTTTTTGTAGCTCAATTGTTTTTCCTTTAGGTCCAGGCTGCCCGAAAAAGAAGAGAGTTTCTCCTTCCTTTTGGAATATCTTCAAATTTTCCTTGATAGCTGATATATGCTGTCAGAATCAGAAATAATGCTTAAAAGGCAAAGTTTAAGCAGTATGGATCAGATGGCTTGGGGGAGTATCTTATTGGTGTAGCTAATTTGTCCCATGCATTTTGCTCAAGAACCTTGGCTCAAGTGGCATTAAGTTATTTTAGGAACTGGTTGATCGCAAGATCGAAACTGAGTCCGCTTCACCTTTACCTACACTTCAGTCTGCATAACATTGCTGTGCAAGCATACTTTTCCTGAAAATATGCAGGTACAATTGGTGTTAGTGATGAACTGATGATTTTTTTGGCCCACTCGGTCCAAGAAATGAATGTATATACTCGATTTATTAAAAAATTTTGGCCCCTTCAATTTATACATTTGATGAGCATCTTGCACGAGTTGTTTGTAAAATTTTGGGGACATTTGTTGTACCTTGGGATTTTTTGTGTAGTATCAACAATGGATCTACTTTCTTCCTTTTTAGCTGCAAGAACCTGGTTTTTATGGGTTCTTTAAGAATCAATTTTACACGTAGAAGCTATGTCACTGTACTCAAATGATAAAAAAGAAAAAAAGAACTGGTTCTTATTTTAAGAACCTATATAAGAGCCTTTCACCAGAGATGGCGTAATATTATGTTATACTACAGTAGCTACACCATGTTTGCCAAATTTATTATCTTGGCTTGATGGCTTTGAATTCTTATTATTCTGGGCATGAATGCAATCATTTTGTAATTGTTTTGATCTATAATCTATTATATGGCACGTAAAAGGAACAGTTCCTGATGCTCCATGTGGTTGATTTGGTTGCACCAGTGGTTGTGTAACAGTATCACTTATTATGCAGTAAATATGGTTATTATTATGTGTAATAATAAATAATGATTTATAGACCACTCTAAATAAAAATAAACGTTTTTTTTTTGTTTTTTCAAAAGCTTAGCTAGTTTGGTGCAATGGTCTTCCAAAAGCTCCACTCTGGATTAATTGGTACCTTCAAATCTAGCGAAAAAGAAATGCTAGTGGTGATCCTGTTATTGCTTTTATCATATTTTTTGTTTAAGCGGTGGTTGTTATCTAATGGGAAAGTCAAGGAGATGGAAACATCCGGATGGTGGAAAATTTAGCAACATTATGTGATATTCTCGTTGTAAGGTTCAATGGTTGGTTCTGCATATCTATGAACTTGTCTTCCATTGAAGCTATATTAATGAAACCAATACACAATCGCATGCCTTTTCTTCGTTGCTTTATTATCCATTTTTAATTTGCACGATCTTCACGCATAAAATTGGGTTGTCAAGTTATTCATGTTTGGTTTTTTATCCAATTATCGTGTTTGTTTGACATAAATATTTGATACTTGTCTGGAAATATTTCATGTTAATGAATGTTACGATGGCTTATCTAAACTTTCTATTTTCAGTGAAACTTCCTACTGAGAAATGAATAAAGTTTTAAGTAAACGAGTCAACGTTAACATTTTCATTATCACAGACAAATCAATTATAGACGTTGGCATGGACTCATGAACGTCAGATACCTCGCAGTGAAATGCACTACATGAGAAAACGTGTTCAGTTTAGCAGTTTAGCTTATTGAAATGGTCATCTGCACCTAACTTCCATGGAGCTTCTCTAAGCATTCTTTAAACCCAACTTTCCCAACTCATGTAGTCTCTTGAAAGATAGAGTTCTTGAAAAACCTGAGTTTCCTATGCTTTTCCCGGGAAATATTGACTTGCTCAAAGTCGTTTCCACCCTCATCATACACCTTCACAACTCCATTTGTTTTGGTTCTTCCTTGTCCCCACCAGCCTGCTGGGAAATGATTATAGATTTTGAATTGAACGAGAATGATATTATGATGAAAATGAACGTACGTGCTACGCTTTTGTTTGTTTACTCTCTTAACATATAAATAGTATGGGGTGCCCAGGAATCAGTGGCAAGAATTTTGTGTTTCATTTCATTCAGTCTTTGAAGGGAGTGGGAAAGGCCTAATTGTTGCAGTTCATTGTATATGCTTGAAAATACTTGAATCTATACTTGAAAGGTCTTATATGAATATAGTGTTTCTTTTTTACTTTGTTGATTTCTGTCATGATTTTCATGTCTATTTAATTGTTATTTTTTTCCCTCTCCCTCTCTTTTGTTTCCCCAATTTATTATGCACCACCTTGTCATGTGAACACCATTGCCCTCTTCATGTTAGAATTATATTGGTTACAGCTTGGGTACAATTTTATGTTTGCTTCTGTTGGAGATTGGTTCTCATATTCAGTTAATTTCTGTTATATTGCTTGTAGTGTTAAGCACCCCAAAAATGAATAGAGATCAATTGTATTTGAAAAGGTAGAAACATTTGGATTCCGGCTGTTTTGAATTACATACTCAAGCTATACTTGTGATTTACATTTTGCATTTTCCCTTAGATAGGATAAGAATTCATGTACTGCAATTTTCAATATACTTGTAAAAGTTTAAACAGAATATTACAGTTGATTTTGTAAGTTTCAAGCAGATTGCTGCAAGAGGTATTATCATAAAGATCTCAATATTAAAAATATCTCAAATATTTCTAATATATCTGTCATGGTATCTGTTAGTTTTACTAGTTTATTTAATGGGTACTATTTTTGACATTTGGTAGTCCTTTGGTTTATAAGTATTTTTTTTCATCGACAAATGCTAATCGATAGTTTTATATGTTAGTGGAAAATTTTGAACCGGAATGTGGGGGGGATACCAAGGTTGAAAATTTGTAGTGGCTAATTTTTGAATCTGGATTCATAAAATCTTTCAAATCTTAAACCTATAAATAAATGAAAATTTATAAATTGCATCGAACTTTGTGAAACTTTTATTTTAGAAAAATGGATACTGAATAATTCAATAGATTACATGTATTAAATTAGTGAATGGCAAATGAAATTATGTACATTCAAGCATGCACATGGTGTAAAAATTTGATTTTTACTGCGGAAGAAACTAAGTCGTACTATAACTACAATCATATTTGCCTCGAGTCATAAACTTTGGCAGCTTGCAACCCAAATTATAGTATTACTATTGAGATGTTTAGGCTATAATTTGAATCATATTGGACAGAGGTTAGAACAAGTGAAATGAAGTACAAGTAAGTCCCAAGAAAAGTGACTAATGTCAGCTAGCTCACCGAATAAACTTAAGCAGACAATAGCCGTAAAAGAACAAAATATAACCACATTAAACTCGAGTATGTAGAGGACACACGAGACGTCAATAACCAACCAAACTGCAATAGTGCAATCTATCTTTCCCCAGCTTACGGTTGTCATCTTATCCATAATATCTATTCAAGGGAACTCAAAAAATAAAAAGAAGAATGCAATTACTCGGTGTCATTCTGTGATCATAATCGAAATTTCACATTGCTAACCTATTTTGATATTTACTGTAAACTTTTATTTTAATTCTGAAGCACACGTAAACTTTGTCAAAGAATAAAATGGATGACAAGTGAGAGCAGAAAGATAAGCTGCAGAAGCCAATCCAGTTCCAGTTGAGAAGCAAGGCAATGGAAATAATAAAATTGTGGTACATATAACACAAGAGTACATCCTCAATTGAGTATAATAACAGTTGATTCCGATATGGAAACAGTGATCGGAAAAAGAATCAAAAAATAGAAAACCCATCTTCCTCCTCCTCCTCTTGTTCTTCATAATAGTCCTCCACATCCTCATCCTCATCCTCATCCTCATCCTCATCCTCACTATACAAAACCAGAAATTCCTCCCCATTCAAGTGATGGTCTTGGAAAACATGTTTCCTTCTCTTGGGAAGCACATCCACGTCCACCTCCCCATTCTCAACCGCAGTCCAAGGCAGCCACAAATCAGCATGCCTCCCCAAAGCCCTATCCCAATCGCCGACCACAACCGTCCCCAAATCAACCTCCCTGGCCCTCCTCAACATCTCCGAAAAATCCGAATCATCCGAAACCAAAAACAGCCAGTCAATCCCCCGACTCATGGAATGCGCCATCTGCCTCTTGAGAGCCCAGTCCGCCGCCTGCGGCTTGTCCCTCACCGTCTTCACAAACACCCCCGCCCGCCGCAGCTCCGCCGCCAGCCCGTACCCCACC